AGACTTCTTTTGTAAGTTCTCCCTTTAAGAGCAAGGCACAAATTCAAAGCATGGACACACTTCTGTTGTGAAACTATCAGGAGCTTACACAAAAAGGCTGCTGCTGCTGCGGTGATACATAATCATGCAAATAAGCAATTGCTGACCCACTAATGAACACACAGATTTGGGTTGAGAAAAGGAATTAAATATCAGCTTGACTTGATGTAAAATCTGAAACAGAACCTATTAAGAGACAGACTTCAACTATACAGAAGACTGGGAGCTGAACGGTACGAAATCCATCCCCCACCCCCTCATCTGCAAGGCAAACACTTCCTCCCAGTTCTGCCAAGCAGAGTCCTGGCAGCTCCTTTATCGATCAGAGAAACGAAAAACAAACAAACCGCAGACTTAATGCTGTGAGGATCCCTGCAGATCTGATCCCAAGCCTGTTATGTCTGCGCAAAGACTTTAATGGCTTTTGGACAAGGCCCCCATAGGCTTTGGAGAGGATAAAACCAATAAATAAATTCACAGTGCTTGCTTTAATGCAAGTATAAAATCGCCTGCAGCACCGCCGACAAAACAATAAATCAATTATAGGCCTGGAAAAGAGGGAGCTGGTGTGAACTCCACCAATTGCTTTTCCCTGATGAAAGGGAGGACAACGGTTCTATGACCACTGTGCCAACCCCCACCTGAGAGCTACCTTAAAATCACACATTAGCAATGTCGCTAAAGAGTCCCTGCGCACAGGTTCTAAGGGCAAAGGATTTTCTTTAGTACCTTATCACCTTATCTTTGTTTTTTCCTAGGCTTCTTGATAAGAGCTGTCATAAGTTACATTTTAATGTAATACACCACAACCACATTTTAAGCAAAAGGTGGAAAAATAAAGCTCTATAGCAGCTGATAACGCCAGCTTGGATAGAGATCAACATTTTACTACTGCCTGTAAATCAAACGCGCCCTCAGGTTGGACTCAGTCAGCTTCCCAAGGTCTGCACCACACCGCTGGCACTGCCAGCAGCTCTGCCCTCATGCTCAGAAGCAGGCTGGCTCTGACGGTATTTATCAGGTATTTATCGGGTCCTGCAGCTACTAAGACCTAAGTGCTCCTTCATATCTTCTTAAACTCCAGAGGGACACAGCACCCACAAGCCAAACTCCCACTTTCCATCCACATAAGACGATTTCAAAGGTTCTCCCGGATGCCTCCGTTTCAAAACACAAAGGACATCTTCTGAGGGTCCATCTGAAGAACAGTGCTTTAGTATCCAGACTCTGAAAATCAGTTCAGAAGGTCTTAAATCAGGCAGCTAACTGTAAACGTCCCAGCATCCACTGCCCTTTTTGGAAATCCAGGCTCAGTTTGGTGAGATGGTGCAATACAGCCAGCCCAGGAGAGTAGGCTTAACCACACGCGTCTTCTGCCGCAGCCCGGCCTTCCGCATTAGCCTGTGTCCCCATGTGAGATTGCGCCACTTCTGTATGAAGTGTGTATTTAAATATGTTTAAAAATACAAACCTATTACCGTGTTACTAGTGTACTTCCTATTCCTGCCTAGCATCTCCTACTTCTCCTTGTGCAGGGCATTATGCAGTCAAACGAAAGATATCTGTTTTATTTTTTTACCTTTTGGTTTTTTTGCTTATAGGCATACTATAAGCAAAAATATATTAAAAAATACTCTCAGTAAAAAGAGTATAAGCAACCAACACAGACTGCAGGTCGCTAGTGCTCTTTGTGCTCAGACCACCTCCCAGATGCTCTCCTTGTCGTTTCTCACCATCACACTGTCACTGCAGGCTCAGGGTAATGTTACTACAGGGTGAGGTGTGGATGGAAAAGACAGAAGGTGCAAGTACTTTTTCCCTATTATACAGCACAACGTGCTAAGCCAATGTGCCCCAAGACCTGGGTATCAGCCCCAGCCCCACGCACACAGTTGATGTAAAGATTTTAAGGTTTACAAAGTGATTTCACGAGGAACAAAGCAAAACCAGTGGTGCCACCCACACTGATCTTCCCTTCTCCCTCTATTGAGCAGGAAAGATTTATAAGCAATGAGATTCATGGCGCCAAATGCAAGTTCCTGCCTTTCACATTTAAGGCAACAGAATCAACTGTACAGAACTATGAGGAAATGATAGCAAAGATCTCATCCGGAGGCCACGAAAACGCACGTCCAGGACCGGGTGAGCTCTGCTGTGAAGGAGTCAGGTTCTTCCTGTAGACTTTTGTTCTGTCACTGGATTCCACACTATCAGGCTGACAGCCCGGAAGGCTCAATCAGGGTATCCAGTAAGTACAAAACCTCCACCTGCAGTCCCACCTCCCCTCAAACCACCACCCTGTGACGAAAGCCTTGGCCACATCTGCAATCGTCCTGCCTTCACATGAACAGGGGAGCGACGGAGGATGTGCAGAGCGATGTCCTAGGAGAACAAGCTGCTTCTTTTGCTGGGAGCTAACCTCAAGCTGTCCCCATTCAATCCCTTGTGCAACCTTCCCTGTAACACTGCACCAGCTCCTAAGCAGTCAGTCCCTCTTGTTAAAATGCCTCCTTAACTCATCCAGTTTAACTCTTCTTACTTGCACTGGAGACTTTTCTACAATTCAGGAAGCGGTGGCGGAGGCAGCAGCTTTCCCTCTGAGTCAGTGCTGAGCTGAGCCACGGCCCAGACAGGGTTGCAAAGGTCACTGACATCGTGGGTAGCTTCTTTCCGATAAAATATAAAGCCCTGTGAGCTGCAGGGTGCCCACAGCTTTAAGCTCCTCTGGTCCACTCTGAATGCCGACTTGGGTCTTTATATTCTAGTTACTTGCTTGCTCCCTCCTTTTAATATTTAGCTCTTTTCCAGGCATACTGCACATGTCTATCCGGGCTTCCCTGCACAGCTGAAAGGCACCAGCTTACAACGGCTTTGCCTCAGAAGGAATTGTGAAGCTTCATTTAGTTAATATCCATGAAGCTACTATAAAATTTCAAGCAACCATCATGGGCACCGTTGTCCCTAATTATGTAATATTACATACATTACAACATAACCCCCCTTCTCAAAGCTTATTTCTAGATTTAGCAGGAGAGAAGAGACACCCTCTGGCGTGTTTGAAGGATAATCCAATTCCACCTCCGAGACACAGGCAAGTGGCACATGAACGTTCTGCGCCTTGAATAAAATTCTGAATAAGAGAGTGATAAGCTCTTTAACAAAAGTACCCTTGCGTTTCAGAAGACAATGACTGCTTTTCTACATCTTTGCGGAACTGCCTCCGATAAACTCCTATGGGAACTAAATCCTAGCTGTAAAATTTCGTAAGATTCAAAGAAACCAAGAAAGGAGATGAATCTCTATTCTTTTCTAGGCATTCATCCAGTAATATCTTCAGGCTTCCATTGTATTTCCTACAAGATTCATATTATGTCACCTCCATTATAATATGTAGAACTTTTTAATCAAGTTTAGAAAAACCAAACCCTGTCCCTCATGAGACACTGCAGCCACCCCCACATCTCTGCTCACTTTCTTTCTTTTAATTAGGGCAAGACGAACAAATCTAGGCGAGGGGAAGCAGGGTTTGAAGAGGCAAGGGAGATGCTGACTGCACCCGAAGCAGTGCGTTATTCTGCACTCCAGCGATGAATCCTCTCTGTGGAGCAGCAAGTGCTCGGCTGGCAGCCGCGAGTCAAGCCCCGTACCACTCCTGGAAGGCAGACAACGTCCAGTTCTGAAGGTCTCAGGGTAAGAGGGCATCCTGCTGGGATACGGGCAAGATCACTGCTGCAGCCAGGAGGAGAGGCAAGCAACAAGGTGAGCCCTTGCATCCTATCTTACGTTTGCTATCTAGAGTCAATGATGCTGTGAACTTATCCTCCATGTGAAGACCTGGCCAAATGTACAGCTGTCAGGAACAACAACAAACAGAATAGCCCTAAAAATCTTAAGGCTTTCAAACGATCAAGGCACTGGGTGTGCGTGGCACCCGCTGGAAGGCGCCTCCGGCACCATGCTGGCTCTAACGCCGCGCTGATCCAGCTGACCCGTCAGAGCCACAAGCAGCACCGCGCTGTTTGTTAAACCCCTCACACCCACACACTTCTCCTTCCTGCCCGAAGGAAAAAAAAAAAACAAAACGACTCCAAGTTTTGCGAGCACTAATGAGGTCTTCGGCATTAAAGAAATCATCTGTGATCTCACTCCACTTCCCAGTGGTTACCACTGAATGGAGCAGGAGGCTGCATCTAGATTGTTAATAAACAATAGGTTCAAATGTGGAGGCTGAATGAGTCACTGCGTTCCTGCGTTCAAGCTGTGTAATGGGATCCAAATGCAGAACAAGGACCAGCTAACTTAGGGAGTGGACCAGCTAGCTAATGACCATTATTCTTGGCAGGATTCAAACAAAGAGTTTAAGCATGTTCAGTGTGCTTATAAAGAATAAATCCAGGAGGGGAGTCCTGGATCTTAAAGCTTTCCTAGGATTCCTCTTCCAGTCTTCCAATTTTGTTTATTAAATAAAATTACTCAGACGTGTAAGCAGAGAATAATTATACCAGTAAGATTTGTATGCCTCCAGTTAACCAGTTTAACTAAATATATTTACACAACAGAAACATGTAATAAAGTTCTCGGAAGAAAAACTGAACTCGCAATGTAGAAAACACACCTTTTTACTTTTCACCTCGTTATTCACTCATAAACTAATTTGCTTATTTACTGCATCTTTAAACAGTTTAAACTTGTTAAATCACTATGGCAGAATAAAAATCTAGTAATTCTTAACACTTGTGAATCATTAGCACAGACTGAAATTCTTCTCATGGTTTACAGCTTAGTATTCAAGTGAAGATAATTTCTTCCAGAGAGAAACTCAGAAGACAGAATTTAAGAACTGAAGGAGAATATTCAATAACCAAGTGTTCCTTATTGTTATAGAAAGATGCAATGCTAATAATTAACAAAAGCAAAACCAAGCAGAAAAATCAGTATCATAGAACAAGCAGATTACATACGTAGAAAGGAAAGAGTCTCCAGACCTCCCTGTGACGCTGGTGAGAAACGTCTTCAAAGAAGATAAGGCGGCCCCTGAATAAACTCTCAGGTTTTGCTTCATAGTTGCTGATAAAATCCAAAATAAGGCTGCAAAAACATTAGCTTCTACTGAAGTCTGCTTACTCACTTCAAAGCGTCAAACGCACCTTCATCCCACACTTAAAACGCAGATGCTGCCTCCTAATGAACTGTTTGTTGCGAGGGGGGAATACCGTTATACAATAACCAGAATGCTATTTCTTGATGCAGAAACATAACTGGGGTTTGACTCAGAGAAATATAGCAGCGCCTCGGAGCTGAGGGTTTCAGCGAGAAAAGTCATCCAAAAATAATTTGGCTCTTCAGGAAAAAAAAGAAAAAATTACAGGAAGCAACCTGAAGCATATGTCCCTTCTGAAAGGGAAATTTCCACCTATGGATTTATTGCATTATGTAAACGCAGACCTTCTAATCTAGCCCTACAATAAAAGCACTGCTGGCAGTAAAACTGGAGCAGGTTAATATCTGCTCAGCCTCAGAAAAGATGCTCTGATTTTAGCAGCTTTCATACCCTGAATACACACTGCATCAGTGGCTGGGAACATATTTGCATTCACACACTGAAAAAGCACAGATCTTGTAAAACATATTTAGGAACTGGTGAGACGTGATACATATATTGACTAATTCCGTAGGCCTTTGGAGAAAATCAGTCTTCAGAGAAATGCTATTCTTATCATCTGAATAGTTCAACATCACTCTTCTTGCAAGTAAAATTCCTCGTTCTATACTGTAAATTTTCAGTTAGGGCTCAAATCACTCAAAGATCCTTCACATACTTAAATTTCACCGAGTGGCAGCTGTCTACTGCGCTCTCTTAAAACTTTTTGCTCCCAGTCTGAACAGGAAAGAAGAGAAATCCTCCCATTTACCATTTTGTGGATCCATGTTGCTTTCTCTGCAAACAGCGGATTCCTCAGTTCCCACACACCAGTACATTCTGGGTCGCAGTTGTGAAGATCCCACAGACGAACTTTCTGCAGCGCTTAAAAGCGAACAGTGTTGTCAAAGCTGAATGATCTCCGTCAAGTGAATGCAGGAGCCGAACGACTTGCTAGTAAGCACCATCCCGAAGAAACATTTACTCTGTTTAAAAATAAACAGCAAAACAAATTAATCGTTCCAGTATAGAAATTACAAGACGCTTATTCCTCTAACACAGTTGTCTAAACGCTACTTTGCAGAAATGCACTGATCATCCTATAAATACAATTATTTTCATAATAGCTTTGTTAACAGCCTAATGTGAATTAACAACGTCTCCACTATAGAAAGATAATGTTCCCAATTTTTCCCCACCAAAGCCGCTCAGTCTTTGGGCAAAGGGGTGTTGGGGGCGGGCAGGGGTCACAGCTGCAGTTTCAGATTCTCCACAAGCTAGTGTAAAGGCAGAGCATTGAAACCATGCAGCGCAGCTGGAAAAATCCTAAATGCAACCTCAAAACCTTTCCCATCCACAAAGATGACTGTGGCTCTTGTGAGACTCCACTGTGAGAAACTGAAAAATACTGATGTGGTTACTGAGACAATTCTGTGCAGAGAAGAAAAGAGGGCTGAGCGAAACGCACCAGCTCCTCTCCCCTTCGCCCAGTCCTTTTAGAGAACTCTACTGCTCTAGATGCACCAGGCTTCTTCAAACACGGTCAGGGAGGCAAATGAGGCCCTTAGCTGCTCTTAAAAGTTGGCTCCTTCTGAACTGCCTTGCGTAACAGCCAGCAGAAACCTGCACAGCTCAGTCTCCCGAGGCATTTCCACCTCCTTACCTCCTCAAAGCTGCACACTTGTGATTTTCTCTCTTTTAATGCACCTTCCACAGATGTTTTAACTACAGGTGAATTTGCAGCATGTGCCCAACCAGCATCAGTGCTCTTTAATTTTCTGCTTTCAGTTTCCACCAGGAAACATCTCTCAGATGCAACACGATGTCCTTCACCTTTGACTCTTACTAGTTTTTCTCATGCCTAGTGCGTGAGGCTGAAGTTTTGGCTGGAGGCTCCAATTCAGCAAAGCACGTAATCCACCTCCCACTTTTGCCTGCAAGGCCCAAGAATATCCTTAACCACCTGAGTACAGTCCATTTCCTGAGTTGGGATCAAAGGCCAAGAAGAATATAAAAGTACAGGGATCCATCACCACTCTTCAGGAAGCTTTCTGCTCCTCCCTCATTATATATGGTTTTCACCACCAGCTGACAGTGTTAAAAATCACTGCACGCTACATCGGTCGTTTCTAAGCAAAAATTTCGATTTCAGGTGCACTTGAGAGCACAGCTCAGCTCCTGATGACCCTTACTTTGTGGTGCCTGGCAACAGGAACCAAAACTCACACACCAAGCGCTGCGCACACCTGAGTCCTGCAAGCCGGGCACTGGGTGATGCCGCAGGCTGCAGGTTCTTTGGTAGTTGTCAGAGGTGGGAAAAATTATTTGGGTGGCACATAGCAAATAATATGAATTGAGAAACCTGGGCTAGGCTACACATATATGTTTTCCCACGCATTTCAGAGCTAAACACCTGCTTTGCAGCAGGATGGCTATGAGTCCAGATGGATGGAGATGACTGAGCTGCTGAGCATCCATGCCTCCCTCTGCATCCCAGACCGCAGCAGCAGCTCGTCTCCCAGCTCAGGCCCTGGCAGCTCTTGCACCCTGAAGCAGCAGCTGGGCACGTGTAAGAGGCTGAATTTGGCAGCTTTCACCCATACAAGGAAGGGAGGCTGCAGGCTGCTGCAGGAGGTGGTCCCTAAGGCCAGATCTAGCCCACAAACTGCTGAACTGGGCCACCTTGGTGGAGGACTGGATTCTGCCCTGGAACATGCCAAGTTCCCATTGAAGTCAGCTCAGTTCCTGGGCTGAGCATCCCATGACCACGTCAACAGGCAGAGCCACTGCACTGGGACTCCACATCTGCGTGTGATAGCCCCGGCAGAGGTGTCGAGGAAGCTCTCACGTCTCCCAGAAGCTGTTGGGGCTGTTAATTCTGCAAACAGAGGGGGTGTGATTCTTTCAGCAGCTGCCTCCCCTGCACCCTCGCTATAAACGCCCTGAGCAGCTACAGTAAGAATAAATACTTCCCCATGCAAAGACCAACAGACCAGCTCCTTTTAGCAGATGTTGGTCTCTGAGGCATTTCCTCGCTGTATGTCGGAGGCACACCATGTGTGCTCACAGCAACTGTGCAAGGAACAGTGTGGACTGCAGAGGCTTGAGAACCATCCCGCTCCTGATCGTTGGCCTTCTACCCAGCTTACTGCCCAGGATGAAACTTTCCTCATACATAATGAAAGGAAAAAAACTTTCAGGAAGACTAATTGCATGGTTTTGATAATCAGTTCCCTTTAACTGCACATAGGATACTAAATGCTGTAGCCATGTGTACTACGGCCACACAGCACCCAGTATTTCCAGATTGCAGGACCTTTTTGTAAGTATTTTTTAAAAAAAACAGTGTCTTTACCTTAAGCAAGATATACTTGACTGTAACACGTGCACTCACCATGCTTTGATTTAGGGATACTATGGGCTCTGCAGAACCTCATATGGAAGGAGGAGGACCATGCAGAATACACCTGAACGCTGATACACATCCTGTGTCACACATTCCCAGGTTTCTCTCTTGAGACCTGCTACCGCCAGCTGTCAGAGAGTGTCCCAGCGCATCCCACCGTGCCTGTACCACCTCCAGCACCTCCTCTCCACTTTGCCAGCCCGGCCGGTCTCACCCCGTGCATCCCGCCTAAACGCAGCAAGTCTCCCAGAAGCAGCTGGTCTGAGGCTGCTTCCTGATTCGCAAGAAAAATGCCCAAACTTCAGGTTTTTGCTCAAACCACCTGCTGTTTCTGAGCAGCCCACCCGTGGCTGGGCGCTGGGGCGGGTATCGGTACGGCTCTAGAGAGGCCCAAGGGGTGGGAACATGGTTCAGGTTCATCCACCAGCTCTCATAGAAGATGGGGCAAAGCCAGTCCTGGAACCGAAACGCCCGATGCCTGCCTGGCGCCAGCCCTGCCCGGCAGGATGAGCATCCTTCATCCTCTGGTGGGCTCTGGGTACGAAGCACCAAACCAGGCAACCCAGCCCCCTCTTCTCCCCACACAGCAGCCTGAGGCGCAGTCAGGCCTCACAGTCCAGTTCGCGGTGTTTCACAAGCTTTTCTGGTCATTTTTTGGTTCCCGCTGGTCTGTCAGCTCAGCCAAGGGGCTGAGAGCCGC